GCCATCATCCAGTGCCCTCCCTCCATGCTGCTCATAGTGGGCGGAGCCAAGGTGGCTGAACAAGAAGTTAGGTGGGTTCTGACTGATAAAAATAGACCCAAGGTATACATAATACAGTATTGTTTATTAGGTAGATAATACAAAAACAAAATAGGCAAGTCGGAAAACAGGTATTATAAGTTGAATAAAACTTAGGGATAAACTATTTCTCCCTAAAACTCACTCATCTACTTGTAGAAAAAGAAATGTCTCCTAATGATTTATGCATAACTAGCAATCAACAACAACAAGTCTTTTTAAACATAATTATCCCTAATCTACTGCCTTCAGAATTCACTCCATATCTCCTTCTCAGTAACTTCTTACTTCGTCTTCCCATCCCAACTACTTGGACCCTTAATGTACTATTCTACTCTTGGAGTTGTTTTCTGATAAATCTCTCATTAGAGAGTTATTTTATTTCTTGGAAAGAACTTTTACTAAATATTCTTTATTATGAATGAATACAGCCCAAAAGCTTCATTACTTTCCTCATTATAGTTTTTAATTTACAGTTAGTTTTAATTTTTTTGATAACAATTCATCTCTAAGATAAGTTAAATAAAAAGAATAAATAAATTTGTTTGGTGAACCCCTGAATTTTTACCAGATGGGAATGCAGTGAAGACGGTCTGTGGAAGAATCTAACAAAAGCACCAGTGGATCCTCATATATTAGAATGTGTTGCGAAGATGACGCCCTGTGCTTTACCTGAGGTATTTTTGTTGTGTGTTTTTCTACGCCAATGTCATAAGTAAGGGAAAGGTCAAAAATCAGGTTCTATTAAAATACCTACTAGTGTACCTGTTGCTCGAATTCGAGCAATTGCAAAGCATTACAGGCGACTCAAAGATTATGGAAATACTCACGATCTACACAACAGTTAGATATAATCAAAATCTTTTGTAAATATCTTATCTTTTTTCAAAAAGCTGATCTTGTTTTTTTTTAGTGTTTTTAGTGTAAAAAAAACATTATTTCTATTTCTTCTACTTGGTTGTGTTCTATGACTTTTTCTATGCTTCCATTGTTTGCAAATCGGTTATTTCAATGATTGCTCAAGAAATGTAGCGCAGTGTTAATTCAGTTTTATTTTTAGCCTATATCAAATTGTCCAGGATTTCCATTGTAATAATTACACCAACCCAAGTTTCGTCTACAGATGCAATATGCCAAAGAATATCACCTACGTACAATCTCCAAGAAGTGGTAAAAACGGCAGAAACCAACCAATACAATAGATATAAGTTAACTCCATAAGAAATAATTTCAAAAGTTACTGTGATATTAGGATTTTCCACTGATTTGGTAATAGAACATTATATTGCAAAACATGATACGATGCAGAAGAAAATCAATTTTAAAATCAGAAAAATCCTTCTGTTAACATGTGTAGTTTTAAGCTATGTTTTTGCAACCTAAAGTTGTTTCGAGTTAAATTTTTCAAATATATGCTAGAAATGAATAATCAAACTCGATATATTTAGAAAAAGGTGATAGATCTACACTGAATATTACTAAAGATGCATGTATACACAATAAAAATTACCAGTGTACTATATTTCACATATCACGTTACATTATGATCAAATTTCCCATGTTAACAATTTGTTTGTATCACAATTCCAGAGCCCACAGTTTGGTTACATTGTCCCTGATGATCAGAACACCTCAGAGTTCAATGAGGGACATAAACTTGAGGTACAATGTCGCCAGGGCTACGTGCTACATGGTAGCAACTTGACTGTGTGTAGACGAGACGGCACTTGGACTAATAACACTGTCTGCAGAGGTGATTGCAACCAATAACTTGAGATAATTTGATAATTATTTAGTTAAGTAGAATCTCTCACCAAAATTGGCATAGGTGACTCCTTAGAATATCTGCTTCTGAACTTACCTTCCTACTAGCGTCCACTTACCCAAGTCTAAAATAAGTTGCTAGTGAAAGTATTTCAATTGAAGAAGCAATCAGTTACTGTAAGCTATATTTTTTTTTTTTTAGAATACAATAAAACTTTATTTATACATTTCAAACAATTCAACATATGACTATGATTTTCAATCAAATATAAATGTTTAAAAAAATAAAATGAAAGCTCAATAGAGCAATGGGGGAATTGCGGCACCATCTTCAAATTGAATGCTTCGAATTTTTCGTCTAGTTCCCCGTAGCCTTAGCGAAACTGCTCGAATGATGGAAAGCTGGCTTTGGATCCTCAACCATCCGATAATTTGGGAGTATGGTTTTCTCCATTTTACAGCCAGGGCTTCGCTTGTTCTCCTCTGAAACGCTTCATATTCTTTGTGGGGGACTCCTTCCGTGGAACATATTAATGGTGTGAAGCTTCCTCTTATGTCTTCGGCTGCTAGTCTATTGTATAGGTTTTGACTGTAAAAGTTTTGCTTCCTACACACTTTATTTTAATACTGTGATTATCTTACCTTTTTTGTGCTCCAACGACTTAGTTCCACACTTGACTCAATTGAGGGGTTCTATTTGTTATTCTGTTTGTGTATGTCATACAGTACAAAGTTTTTAAGTTACTTGAAAGCAAATGAATTAGTTATACGTGAGTAATATTTAGTAGTTATTGGTTATATTTCTGCTTCTTAACAGTGAGTACACATTCACCGAACTAGATCACCATCTCAATAAATCTATCTTTACAAGTTTTTCCTGCTTTTGAGCTTAAACATAGTCTTCACATATTGCCTAATAGAATATGAAATGAGTAGACTTTAACCAGCCCGAAAAACCACTATAATCTAATTCAGCTTATTAATTTATGTTTGAATATCTACAGCTGTTGACTGTGGAGATCCGCCTGTGCCTCCTCTCACACAGCTGACTCTAGTGTCCAGCACACTCTACGGCAGCCTAGCCAAGCTGCAGTGTGACCCGGGCTACCAGGCTTATGGCGAGATGTCCCTGCGCTGCCAGACCAACAAGCGGTGGTCTCGCTTCCGAGGCAGATGTGTTCGTAAGTGCTTATGAGTAGAAGTAACCATTGCTACATGAATGAATGATGTTGATTTTACTGTCAATCTCTTTGAAATGCATATATTTCACTTTTTTTTGACTTTCACCTTTGTGTATAGATAAATACCCCTGCCGCAGCATACCTGCCGACTAAGCGAATTTCCATTTGTCTGAATTGATTTTCAGTTAAATATATTTGAATAACATTAGGTTTAACGAGTACCTAGGTTTGCTGCTACAAGGAAACTAATAAAGTGTGTTTTTTAGTAAAATATTGATAGCTTAGTACAAAATAAATAAATTTGCCAAGTTTGATCAAAATATATCCATAAACAAGCAAACTACAACATTTGACAATATTCTCCATAAGAATAACATGGGAATTTTAAATTTACATTTTTTTTAATTTTCTCCGTTACTAATAACCAAACAAAAATACTTTTATATACTAAATTATTTGTTTTTTTAAGCTCTTTAAAAAGGTCTAAAGAGAAATTGGGAAATTTTGTGTTTTAAGGGTCAAAAGTGAGAAAAACCAATTTTTACCCCATAAAACCCCCCGTAAAGCCCCGTTCCCATGGTCCGATCATGCTGGTTCGCGAACTCATTCAAGTTTATCCCGCTTTACACATTTAAACCAAATTTCATCAAAATCGGACCAAAATTACTCAAGTTATCGCGTTCACGGACGTATATATATATATATATAAATCTATATATATATATACATATATAAAAATTTGAATGAATGGTGTTTTTGGCCTCTGGGGACATCAAAATGAAAAAGTAAATTGGTCCCGGGTCTAGGTCTTACCGTGCCACCTACGGTAATAGCTACTTCCCTATAGGGAAATTCGCTAAAACCAGACATTCCTATTCCGAGTTGTAGTCAATCTATTCCAACCATCTATTCCATCTATTCCATTTTTATGTTGATACAATATAGAGAAATGTTGAGTGTTAGTAGAAGAGTAATATCAACTTTAAACAATTTTCAGGTATTTCATGCGGAAAACCTTTGTTACAAGATGGTGTCAATGTGATAGGAAATGCTTACTTGTATCAAGAAAAGCTTCAAATAGTCTGTCCAACTGGTAAGTCAACTTGAATTAAATTTTCAAACCTTGATTAAAATATTTTACGTGGAGTTTAATGCCGCGGTTCATTTTTACCATAGGAAAATAAGATTTCAATTATTTCAATTATTTTAATTTTTTTTAAAACTAGCTACAGCTGGCACATATAAATGTGATTTTTACTCAGTAATATCTTAAGCTAATGGTACGTAAAACCATGGAAATAGTGTTACATATTGAATGTGTTTAAAAAAATGGTAAAACATAATAAACACTTGGCTGTTACAGGTTCAGTTATTTCTGGAGATGAGTACATAACATGTGAAAAAGATGGAAAGTGGAGCAGGTCACCTGAATGTATCAAGATTTAAAAAACTGAAAACAAGAACGTTGAAAGTTGTTAGAAATAAAACATTTTATGTAATGTTTGGACACGTCAGTACCCTTGTTTAGCCAAAAATGTATTTAATGGTAGGTAGTCATGTATTTTATTCAATACATTAATTTCAATTCAACCAATTCACAAATTTTAATTATTATATGCTTGGTAATTAAAACTATGTAGCACTTTCTTGATACTTAGAAAGTTGTAGTTCCATCCTCAGAAATGAAGCTTTTTGATATTATTGAAAACCAACACTGTCATCATTCATTGAGCTCCTAATGCACTCACTCCATTTCTACACTCATTTTTTTACTCATATTGTGGTTAAAATATGCACCTAGGTGGTGTCCCCATCTCAATAATTAATTAATAATTGAATGTGTCCTTAAATTTTACAGCATGAGTATACTATACAACATTGCAAAAGTAAGCTTAGTGCTTAGTGACCCAGGATCATCACTTATAGAATGGTTTAAAATACCTGTCCATCGGTGTTCCAACTGTCGTCTAAATGGAGTCATGACCTCGCATCTACCTGTGCTCTGTCGTACTGTCCTGTGGGATACTGTCCAGTTGTATACACAGTAATATCATTTGGTTCTCTCATGTTGTATGTTTTATGCTACGGTTTGTGTTTAATGACGACCTCAACTTGAAAGATGAGACTTTCAAATAAGCCTGATGATGAGATTTTTATCTTGAAACTGGTTGCCAATGAGACGACAGTTGGAGTACTGAATGGCAGGCAAATTACACCAAATAATCCAATCAAGCAGTTGTAAAATATTTCTTTCTTTTAGTTACTTTGAATTTAAAATACATAAAACATAAAAATCCCAATTACCTATAGGTTTGCTCTATCAAATTTATTAACCATTCAACTACATGTTGCCATCAATAAGTAATAATGATGGGCAGTCTTAGGAGACTGCTGACCATCTAATAATTAAAATACTATTAATAATTAAATTCTAATAATTAAAATCTAACTGCAGATTCTTTGAATGAGGTCAGGGAAAACAACTCTTGAAACCATGTCAACGGATAGACACATGCCTCATTAGGGGCTCATAGACTGGATGCTGCAGTTCAATAAGTAACTCAAGTTTGACATCAGGCACCGAAGGGGAATACTTAGAAAGTTACATAGGGACTAAGTCCACCCTGATTCAATCAATCAATTGATTCATTCAAGTTTATCAAACATCTCAAAATCATACAATTACTAGACAAGCTGTTACTATAAAAAGTACCAAAAGCAGACCAAATATAAAATACGCAATCCACTTCTTGTTTTTCCAGCTGTACGATATCACAGGTCGGTCCAGGAACTGTTGTATCCAAGGTAGGTCCTGGAAGACGTCTTCGTACAGGACTATTCCTGTTCTGTCCATACATGATGTGACTGTACCCTGAGATAAAACTCCATACAATACATTCCCACAAATCAATGGTCCACCCGAATCCCCTCGACATGGGGAGCCATCCGAGAATAAAACCGTGAAAAATGTTTTAACTCGACCTAGAAAACTCGTTGATAAATCAACAGGGATGAGTTTCAAGACATGTGAACCTCCATAACCTGCTGAGAAGCAAGTCTGGTTTGTCGTTAAATGTTTCGCTGGTAGTTTTGGGAACTCTGGTCGTCCTATGGATGTGTGGGTGAGTATTGCCAAGTCGCAACCATCGCTGAAGTTAGGGTGGACGAACACTTCATTGACTCTCCGCACAGAACCCGTCAAAAGCTTGATCCTAACTTCAGTAGGTTCGTACAAGGATTTGTTGCGCAAACAGTGAGCTGCTGTTAAAACTGTGTCCTCTCTGATCAAGGTACCAGTGCAAGTGGACTCTACATAGTAACCAGGCTGGAAACGTAATTCTTGAATGGAAATTATTAATACTACAAATATTGCATCGTGTAGTGTTGTATTAAACATATTTACATGAAGGATTTGTATACAAGGAATTTTTATTACATTGTTATCAGATACGATTGCTATAACAACAATAAGAGTATTTCACTTGAACAATTATTGATAAATTTTGTACTGATAGTTTGGTTTATGAAATAGCAGTTAGGTTCAAACCATTGCAATGGTGTACCCCCAAAAATGGTGCAATGGTGAACTCATGATGTATTCTTCTACTTTGCCCATTGTAACAGCCTCTGCCACAATCCCCCCGTTTCCCTTCATCTGTCATTTTCAACATTTTTTACTGTTGTACTACTTAGTTAGTCAAAAAGATGTCACACACCCCTTAGTTCAATGGATAAAATATGTTTAATGGACCGTTCTGTTGATTAACTATACAACTATGTTTTTTCAGGATGATTTTTTTTTTAATTGAATGAACAAAGTGATTACCGTACTCATACTTGTACACGATACATCTCATATTTTAACAATTACTCAAGGATGACTTGATTTATCAACTTGATGTATGGTTCCAAGATTCTTTATTATAATATCACGAGTAAGTTAGTTTTTGGAGAATATTTGTTCATTCTTAAAACATCTTTTTAATTTTGGGCCAGAATAAAAACATTAGGAGCTACCTTCTTTTATTTGTTTACTTTGTATGATCTCTAATTTGATCTTACTTGAGACAAAGGGACCGACTTTGTTTCGCTGAACTCTTTCATTCATTGAGTCATTTTATGCATAAGAAAACTTACATTGTAATCTAACATTTCTAGAAATCTAGATTGAAACGTTGAGCTGGCAAGAGTAAAGAAATCGACTGATATTCAATACAGTAGATAGCATTAAATAAGTTTAAGTTATGTTAAAATTAAAATATCCCCGCCACAGTAAACCTGCAGACTAAGCGAATTTCCATTCGCCTAAATTGATTTTAAATTAAATCTAAATTAATTAATAACATTAGGTTTAACAAGTACCTAGGTTTGCTGCTACAGGGAGGCTAATTAGTGTGTTTTTAGTAAAATATTCGTAGCTTATAAAATAGATCAATTTTACAAGTTTGATCCAAATATTTCCATAAACAAGCATAACTACAACATTTTACAATATTTTCCATTAGAATAACTTGGGAATTTTAAATTTGCAATTTTTAGAATTTTCTCCGTACAGTAACCAATCACCGTACAAAAACACTTTGAAATACTAAGTTATTTGTTTTTTAAGCTCTTTAAAAAGGTCTGGAGAAAAATTGAGAAATGTTGTTTTGAGGGTCAAAAATGAGAAAACCAATTTTTACCCCATAAAACCCTGTTCCCATGATCTGATCATGCTGGTTTGCGAACTCATTACTTAGGGCCTACTTTATTTATATCAGTGTTAAAACCTATGATGGATTTTCAAATCTATTTACACCAGAATTGCGGCAACGTCAGATCATTTCTCGCAATAACGGCTGCATTCGCGAGCATAACTTTTTGTGGGCTCGATGACAACAAGATCGTCTCCCGTGTTCACGGCAACATCCATGATTATCTTCTGCCATCACGACTACATTTTAATCATCTCCCCCGATCACAGTAAAACCTGTGATATCCCGCAATCACGATTTTCCTACAACTAAAATATTATGTAAACAGAAGGCTAACAAAACTCTCTTGATTAGACCTGCAGATATTATAAATTTTCCTAATTTCATACAAGATCCACATAATATTCCTGATATTGTCGGTTTGAGTGAAAATTTAAAAACGTACGTTTTCATGTCCCTGGCCTTTTACTTCCTAGATACTGGATTTGTAGTTTATTATTATGTGTTTTAATATTTTTTGGGACGGGGGCAACATGTTACACACATTTATTTGGTTTTAAATAGGTTCTTGGTATTTTTTTCGTATTTTTAAAGTCTCGAAATTCACGACCATGACGTGTCCCTAGGGTACATTTTCCAACTTTCACGCTGTTTTTAGACTAATTATTCATGCCGAAATATATAAAGCCATATTTTAATGTCATCAATGGTTATTAAACTTACAAAAAAGGAGCTTATTATAATTTTATTGTCATTGCAGACTGACTACCATGACAAAATAGGTCTGTCCCTCGATTTGGCGTCACGACCATTTGGGAAAAATGTTGAACTTTGGAGCACGACAGTGGCAAGCCTGGCGTCGATGGAGTCAGTTGGTTTTAGAGACTAGTTCGGGGTGTACGTCAGGATTGTAGTGCCGGTCGTTTTGAGTTGAAAGGAGGAATTACAAGATTAATAAAGGAAAGATTGTGTTTTTTGTAATTTTGGTGTGTCCATGACCGTACGTAGTCATTCGATGAAGTAGACATGGTGTTAATTTTTGTTTATAAGATATTTCAATTGCTAGATTAACCTAGAAGTCCACTTTGTATCCTCGAACATGAGGTGCAGGGCTACCGCCAGAACAGAGCCAAATAACACGTAATTTCACGACCAAAGTTTCACGACCATCGCGGTTTTTTTCACGACCAATCCACCTTTATGGATTATAGTGTGTTTGGTCGTGACAATAACTTTAATATAATTGGAAATTGAACAGTTTAGTTCAATTGAAACACATAGTTTTATTATAACTAACAGTATAATTGAAGGATTGTTTAGAAAGATTTAGATTATTCCAGACAATTCACGACCGTACCGCTTGTCCCTGACCATCACGTTTATGATTTCTATCATAAAAATTTCAAAAATTAAAATATCGTCATATTTCAATGTTTTATACACAAAAGAAGCACACCTCTATACAAACATAACGATTTTTCGGGTCTCAGGTAAGTTTTTTCGGAGTTATACAAACTTAAAAAGATTTTATTGGCTTTTTTATATTTGTTGAGTTTTTTTTATTTTTTTCTTGAAAGACCAAATATACCAAAAGCTCAGTGACCTTTTTATTGTATAATGGTCATTAAAGTAAATTAGTTTATAGCAAAACATAGTTATAAAAATAATATTAACTATTTTTAATATTCATTTAAAGGTCCTTTATGGTTGTGACAGGATTTTGTGTTTTTCTACTAAAGATGCTCTTTAAAAAGAAAACTACCAAAGATATTGCGTTACCATGGACATTTTATGAAACTTCAAATGTTAATGAAATAAAAAAAATAATAAAAGTTTTGAAAAAAGGGGACAAAAATTTGCAAAGTGCTTTTCCTGAAAACGTACATTTTTAAATTTTCACTCGTTTACCGATCATCTGGACACCCTAAAATAACTTTGTGGGCCCGGGCCCACCCTAGAACCGCTCCTGGCCTTGTGAAACATTGACTTAATTACCAATAGACAAAATTCAAAAATACCCAACATTGCCATTCACAGTATCATAAATTATAGTTGTTCCTTTTTATAGCCCGGTTTCATTGTTTTAACTGAACAGTAGGACAGTTTAGATAAGAAGGACAATAATTTAGGATGATAGGATGAGTGATATGTGTACTCTGTCAATCAGTCATGACCAAACACTGGTATAAACACCAGTAGCTATCAGTTGCAATCAGTAGACCCTAGACACTTAGACAGTGAGATACTGACTTGACAAGGACCTGACTTCTTACCATGTAAGTTTGACGAAAAAACTTTACGTACAATTTTTTACCCACATAAAAACATACTTTATCTTATTCTCAATAAATATTTTTGGATGACATAATAATGGATCCAAACGATTTGAAAATTTAACTATATGAAGTAATTTTATTATTTTTATTTTTAAGTAAAAGTTTATCAGTTTAATTGTAAAAATTAATTGATTTATTAATTGTACATATATTTATAAATACAATGTCAAGTAATAATTTAATAAAAATAACTTTTAAGTACCTAAAAAAATAGAGTTGAAAATTAGCTTTATTTGGATAGGCTACCATTGATTCCAAGTAAGAACAAAGTTTCTAAAATACACTTCAAACAAAAATCATAATTATTATATATACATATATACTACTATTATAATAGTTTATAAAGATGAAAACGACATTATCATAAAGTGTTCAAACCAGCAAAGTCGAGTTAAATGAGTGAAACAAGTTAAAATGTTATAAGAATGTGTTTTAACACAGTATAGCCCAAATGACAATCATCTAAATTTGTTCTTCTAAAATTTTTATAGAAAACAATAATTTACTCAAACTTCCCAAGCATCAAATTATATAAATTTACAAACAAGCTATAGAAGTGATCCTCAGCATCACATTCGTTCACTTAATAACAATAATTGGCCATTTTGATTGTAGGATAGCTAATTTATATCAGTTTAAGATACAATAAACAACTTGCCACAATATATCTTTTGAATAAGTACGCTATATGATAAAATTATTTCTAACCTGCATTCTGACACAGCAAAAGTGCCTCCAGGATTTGCAAGATTTCAACATGGGAAGCTTGTGATAATGTGAATTTAATTACCAACTAATAGCAACTGTCTACTCATCCAATTACGCAATTATATAGACCAAGTTATCTGTGTTTCTCAAAGTCGGTGCTCAAGAATAATGGGAGCAAAATACAGAAGCACTACATTTTTTGGGGGGAATATTGACGTGTATTTTTTTTTATGCAGGTGTTTAAAAAGACTATTTTAGCCAGATATGGTTATTTTTTAAATACAGTACAGGTAACCTTTAAAATAATCAACAATAGGCGTGCAGTTGATTTTAATTAGTAATATTGTGAAAATAGCAATTAAAATAATCAACACTATTGTTGATTATTTTATTTGCTATCTGCACGATACTAATAACAATATAAATCAATAAACCCATAAAATAACCCATAAATAAATAAACGCATAAAATGCGCCTGTGCGTGCAGTTGATTTTTATTAGTAATATTGTGCAGAAAGTCGAAAGTGCTAAGAATAAATATTTTCTTTTATGTAGTTGATTTTTATGTAGTGCAAACCCCCACACTCTTAATTTACTTAACAAACATCTTCATACGGACGATTAATCTATATTGATAATTTCTACAATATACGTCAGTAACAAACTCATGATTTTAAGATTTGTTATTCAGCATTGTTGCAACCCTAGTCGCGGGGATTGTGAAACTCGCAACAATGGGATCGTCAAACAACGTGCTCCCGCCGGCTGTGCGTCGAAACTACAAAACGTCAATGTCAAGGCTCTTAGTTCAATATTTTGTTTATTGTGTTTTGCTGTTAACTGCTCTACGTATTTAAACAATCAATTCATCCTAACTCACATCAAAACCCATACACATTATGTATATTACATGATTTTTTAGAAAGAGCATATGTTATTAAAATTGAAATAGAAATATAATTAGTTTTGAAGTTAGGCCTAATAATATTTTGAGACTAATATGACAATTTGACACCTTCAAGAAATATATTAAATTCTAGAATGAATTAAGGGGCAAATATATCACATTCAATGTAGGTAGTCCAAATTTATTTTGCGGCAGGCATTGGGGGGATGGGCACCCCTGGTATCAGCATAATCTAACACATACATTCTCCCATTAGCTTATGTCAACAACCTTTATCATGGGTAAGCGGGAGTAACTATGATATTAAATTTTATAGGAAAAAATCACAAAAGTTGCTATAACCTTTGAACCGTAATTGTTAGAGCAATAGGGAGTTTCAATATTTTGTTAGAATTAGAATTACAAAGCCCATAACACATTATTTTAATCAAAACAGGATTTTTCTTCAAATCCGATTTTTTGTTATATTATGGTTTTTTTTATGGGAAAATAACATAAGTTACAAAAACGTTGGGACTGTAATTTTTACGGAATGTGATTTGTACTATTTTGTTCTAAATTTAAGGGACCATAACATACTAATTTTAGTAGAAACCAGCAATTTTCTAAAATCCGATTTGTTTTCATTTCATGGGGAGATGACATAAGTCTCAATCGGTTTGTACGTAAACGAAACTTGCTCTCTATGTATTTCTTATGGGAGTAAAATTTGGTTTCTCTTTGCCGAATTTGTTTAGCTCTGCTACCTGACCGATTTTCATGGTCGAGGTCTCAAATTGAAGTAATGCAGGCAAAGATTTCACATCAAGCATCGGCATTAGACAGCGGAAATTATAGTTTTACCCTAAAAAAAATTCCTACAAGAGGTATTTCTGCGGTTTTCTGTAGTATTATGTGTACTGATCAACATACTAAAAGTTTACCAAAGTTTGACCACCGGAAATGCCTTATTTTCAAGATGGCGTCCAATGTGGTGTAAATTACCTAACGCCTGCAATTTTTTCCCTAGAAAAGTAATACTGGTGTCTACCTATATGTTTTCAGGGCCACTGAATGCAAAAAACACATTTAAAATGACAACAAAAATTTATTTTTTTACAAAACAACACATTTACAAGTACGATTACAAGTATTCATTGTCAACTTCTTCATCCCAAACAGGCTCATTGAATTTATCATCACAGTTTTCAGTTTGGCACAGTCCACATGCAGACGTGCATGGTAGTCCATATCTTGTGCAACTGCATCGCATTGTTCGACATGCAGTAGTGCAATTGCAGTGTAAAAAAGACTTTCAGGTGCAACAGGTTTAATAGTCATTATCGGTACATACTTATTGCTCTTTAGCTTCCATCCCCAATTAATAGCATTCATATTTTTCCATTCCAGTCCAATTCATGATTTAAAAATAAATACACTCTTAGGCAATGGTATTTTGTTGTTGACTCGGTTGGAGGAAGTTGTTCTGGAGTAAAAAATGATATAGCAGAAACAATCTTTTTACTTAAGAGTTTACAGCACAATGAAGTTAGGGAATCGCCACTTCTGTCCCCAAATAAAACTGCTATTACTTTGCTTCCGAGCATCTCTATGTCGGTGTTTTTTTCGGAGTTAGAAACAAATTTGCACAATCTTCAATCGCTGCATTTCTGCCAATAAGCCTCTGGAATGCTGACTTCTTTTCTACACTGAATATGTGCGATGTTGAATCACATCTGGTGGATTGCGAACACAAGTTCATACCCAGTATTTTTTTTATCTCATTAATGTCATAGACTTTATGGTTTGTACAAATCTGGAGTAACCTAATCAGCCGCATTCTTTTCAAAACGCAGAACTTCTTTGTACGAAGAACTAAATCCCATGGCATGTAAAGTATCGACAAGAAATTGAGATTGATATAGATGGCGTACCTGAACTGTAAGGCCGATTTGTAAAGAAGCAACAACAGCGCGTGGTCGGGCTGCTAGAGTGATGACTTGACCAATTCCTGCCACCTTAAACGATCCGTATTTTCGCCTACAAAAACACCATTTAACAAAGTCTGCAAGCATTCCGGTATTAAAGAAAGGGCGTAATCCAGATTCAGGAATTTCTCACTTGGATAGGCCTACTGGTCTGTAACGGACAGAGTGGAGGCCTTTATATCAATCCTAATAAGACGGGCTGCTGTTTCGATGATAGCCTTTTTCTGGGATTCCTCGTCCTTTTCATGTGTGCTGAAATAGGGTCTAAGAATATTTGATGTTTTTCCTTCATTGTGACAATATCTAAAAGACCTTCTAAAAAAAAGGTTATTTTCATACTTCTGTTTTAGCTGTTCTTTCAAATAACTTCTTCCAAATGGTTGTAAATCTTCTCTTTCAAGAAATTCCTCCATTTTTTTCTTGTACGTGAGATATTCAGATATTGTTAGTTGTTCATCATCATTAGTTTCTAAATATCTACATACTTTCAGGAATGCTTGTTCTTGATCTTCATTTCTGGGTCTTCTGGGCTTACTTTATTTCGCAGTTTGTCCATTTTGAAACTGAACTGGTACGTTAAAGCCAGAACGAAAGTTACAGCTACAGGAGTGGTGGTAAACACAGTTAGCGGCGATCAGATCATGTCCGTAATATTCTATTCTTCCTCTCACAATACCCGACCATTCGTCCAATCGACCACTACAGCAGGCAATTATTGTTTTTACAATTCTTTTCTGTCTTTACACAGCTAGCACTAGAACCTCTTTCTGTGACTGCAGTACCGCAGAAGAGACAGTCTGTATGGCTGTTGAAGGGACCGAGATACCCTAGCGCTTCTCTTTAACGTTTCTAATTTATTCCCAGCTTAAATTTTTATGTCGTTCTTATTAATATACCACTGTCTGTATTTCGCGTGAACTTTATCTCCTGGATACACACACAATTAATTCTTCTCCTCTTTCCATACCTGCTTTGTTTATTCCTTCAGCTCCCTTTTGACGAACTTGTACAGTGTCTGTAGAGCAATATAAATCTTCTAAGCATATAGGACATTTAGTTTTGTTTACGATATCAGAACTCATTACATAATAAAAATGAGTAAACAATAAACAGGTTAGCCAACTGTAAAATGTGAAATTTATTTACACAATACTTACCTGAAAGAAACTGTACTATTTTCTTGCTGAATTCAATAAAGTTATGAAATTTCTTTATATCTGTAGACTTCTGCTAGGAAGTAAGCCTACTTATTATTACATTTACCCTCTTTTAATGTATTTTATATGTAATATTTAAGGTCTGGTGCCCTAAAAAAGTAGGCCTACTGAAGAAAAAAAACCTATTAAAATGTCAACCTCACTGTTGAAAATATTGACAAACGATGAAAATATTTTGAACATAGCCATTTTCGTTTTACGTTAATTAAATGATATACTTTTTATTTTGTGAGGTTTTTTTTAAATAAAAATGTATTATTAGGGATGTTTTTACTTAATGTATTTGTCTAAAATTAGGTGAACGTGTTTTAGAACAATTTAGACTAAGACAAATGAAAAATAAATTAGAGCTAAGTTTTTATTAGGCTGTTTGATATAAAAATAATACTATAACTACTCAAACATGATAATATATTGTGAAATTTTGTTTTTAAATTGAAATGTATGTATAATGTATATGTTTCATCTAAGTTTAGGGACCCTGTAAACGAAAAAGTAGACTCTAACTACTCTTCTTTGGGATGAAATTTGTAGAAGTTTGATATTTGACACCATCTTGGACGCCATCTTGAAATTGAGGCCTTTTTAGTTGTCAAACTTTGGTAAACTTTTGGTATGTTAATCAGCACACCTAACCCTACCAAAAAACGAAAAAAATCCTTTTGTAGGAATCTTTTGAGGGTTAGGTGGTTTATTTTCATATCTGCAGGCGTCTACATATACTTACCTACTGTATTACTTGACTAAAAAAATATTTAGTATAATTTTTGAATTCTTACTTCAATTTAAGATGTATTTCACCAGTTATAATTATATAATCTATTCTATATATAATTCAGTTTTAAAAATCTTTGTACAACTAAATCTAGACTTCTACTAGACCGATTTTATTAATTAATGGGTCGTTGGAAAGCTTAAGTCGTGTAGATTTGCAAATAATTATGAAAGTTTGTTTTTGTTATGATTTATGGTGATAAATTAAAGAAAACGTGTTTTCCATAAGAAATACATTGAAAATGGTGTTTTTCACACTTTTTATTTGGGCGCGACTTTTAGCTGCCATTTTTTAATATTTACAAGAAGTGCATGGTATCAATTTGTAGGAAATTTTATTTTCTTTCAGAATATCACCTTCCACTTTGGTCGATTTCCTCACCATTTAAAAGTTATTTGCAAAAAAGCTAAGCAACCTCCGAATTTATAGTAATGAGAAAATATTGAGTTTGGGATATTTTTGTTAAACTTTGTACAACTAAATCTAGACTTCTACTGGACCGATTTTGTTAATTAATGGGTCATTAGAAAGCCTAACCCATGTAGGTTTGCAAATAATTATTAAATCGTGATTTTATTAAATATTTGTGGTGAAAAATTAAAAATAACAAATATACATTAAAAATTGGGGTTTTCAAGATTCTGTTTTCAAGATTCTATTTGTAGCCAGCTTTTGGCTGCCTTTATTAAGTATTTTCCAGAATTGCACAGTAGTTATTTGTAGTAAATTTTATTCTCTTTCAGAATATCACATTCACTTTGGTCGATTTCCCCTCCATTTAAAAGATAATGGCAATAATCTAAGTGATCTCCAAATTTATAGTGGTGAGAAAATACTGAATTAGATATATTTTTGATAAACTTTGTACAACTAAATCTAGACTTCTACCGGACCGATTTCGTTACTTAATGGGTCGTTGGAAAGCCTAATTTGTGTAGATTTGCAAATAATTATGAAAGTTTGATTTTATTAGATATTTAAGGTAAAAAAATAAAAAATAAAAAATAATACATTTAAAACTCCTTTTATTCCAGGTTTATATTTTCAATTTTATATTTGTAGCCAACTTTAGGCTGCCTTTATTGAGTATATTCAAGAAATTTATTTTAGCAATTTGTAGGAAATTTTATTCTCTTTCAGAATATCACCTTCCACTTTGGTCGATTTCCTCGCCGTTTCAAAGTTATTTGCAAAAACGTTAAGCAACCTCCAGGTTTTTAATAGTGAGAAAATACTGAATTAAAGATGTTGTTGTTAAACTTTGTACAATTAAATCTACAGTTCTACTGAACCAATTTGATTAATTATTAGGTCATTGGATAGCCTAATTTGTGAAGATTTGCAAAGAATTATGAAAGTTCTGTTGAGGTTTCAAGCAAGTTCGTTTGGCTATAAATCGATGATAAATAACTCAATTTTTTGAACAATTTGTGTTGGTCGTGATTTAGCTGCGTGCTTTAATGAAATGGAAGCTGATATTTCAATGAGGGTTCTTAGGTCAAAACAATTAGAATAACGTAATTACAATTAAGTAAATGTATATAAAACTAAATTCCATATCCAAGATATAATCAAATTTATATTTTCTGACTGAGCGATACAGTATCTTGAACTTAACTGATTAAAACTATCAATATTTCAAGTGAAAGCCTTTGAAGTATTTTAAGACCAAGACATATAAAATAACTTAAATAAAAATAGAGTTACGTATCATTGATTGCAGATAGGTACTAAAACGATTTTATTTATTGTTCATTCGTGATTCAGCAGTGAGCTTTACTAGTCCGATCTCGATCTTAATAATCAATAGCTCAAATGAAAGCTGGTATTTCACTTAAGGTTTTTAGACCAAAATGTATAATGTAATTAGAACTGCTGGAATACATAATTAATTGACGAGAAAAAAATCTTTCGTTGAGTAATACATTAGATAAATTAATGATGATGCTTGATGACAAATATGTGCTTGCATAGCTTTATTTTAAGACCAAAATTATGAAAATCAGGCAGGTAGAAAAGCCCTCCTGTAAACCATCGCCCGCCTGCGAAACATTGAACTCGGAAAAAACCAAATTTAACTCCCATAAGAAATGTACAGGGAGGCAGTTTGTATATAACTCGAAATATACGTCAAAATGAATGCCGATGCTTGATGGCAAATCTACGGTACGTCCATACCTTTAGTTTAAGGCAAAAAATTATGAAAATCGGTCGGGTAGAAGAGCTAACCCGACTCGGAAAAGAAAAACCAATTATTTTTATAGATGGCAATAATTGGTTTACCAGTATGCATAATCTAATCATACGAAACATGTGTCAATAATTCAACAGCTTATTGTTATATTGTTATCTAATTAATTTTTCTTTGATTAAATGTTGTTGTTAACAATTTGCATTTATGTTTAAAGTGTGTTCATTATGTTAAATGTGTGATTCTAATGTTATGTGCTTAAACTGTACCATTAATATTAGTGAGTAAAGTGGTGTATGGATTTCATAACCATTATTTTAATAGAGACCGTTGTATTTAACCACAACGGGCACTGTTGCTAGTCCTATATATTTTGGTCTAAGAACTTTCAGTGAAATATCGGCTTTTATTTAAGCAATTATGATACTGTATTACTCAATCAAAAATCATAAATTTGATTATTTCTCAGATATTATATTTATTTTGACGCTGCGGAGCAGCATGGGTCCTCTAGTTGTTTATGATTATACCTTTTTATTTGGTAAAAGGGGGTTTTAAATTACTGAAATAACAAGAAACAAATTGTAAACAAAACACGACATCTACAGTGCACATAAGACATAAGATATTTATTGCCGTTGATCATTTTTACATGAGATGGGCATGGTCAACATAAATATATACAGTCAATAACATCAAATAATATCAATAATATCGATAATAATCATCAATAATATCTAAATATATTTAAATTAAAACTAAAGTTGCAACTCCAGCCTAGTACCCAAACAACAGCTTCATAAACATCAAATTAATAAAATTGGTAAACTTCATCCAAACATACAAAAGTCAATGCTTATCATTAATTTGAAAACTTAAAATATATTATCTATGTTGGTGGCCATAAACTCATTAATAGTAAAGAATGGATTGTCTAGAAGCCATTGATACAACTTGATTTTGAAGCCTTTAAGAGGAGTGGTGATCCACAGCTTTGAATCCACAGGACAGAACTAAAGTTAAAATTGGCTTCATGTTTTATCTATGCTTCGGCTGTTCCATAAGGATGGAAAATCTACTAAGGGAGTACCGTATGGTAAAAGTTAAACCATTTTGAGCGTTGCGTTTGGAGGATGATGACTTTTTAAAATAATGGGATCGGGATTGTATGATACAGTGTAAAACCTCACTAACTCGACTATTTGTGGACCCGGAGATTGTTGAGTTTGGGGGTTGTCAATTATCCAGAAAATTTCATTTTCAATGGTTTTTTTGTAAATGAATTCATAACAGACCAATTTTAACATAGAAATTTATTACTTAAATAAGTATTTTGTCATTATTGAGTAAACAATCTTCAAATAAACGACAAAATTAAATGTTTACTTAAAATTAAAACTAAATGTTCTAGAAAAATTTCTGATTTTTGTGTGCGCCCGTGCTTTTGATTGTCGAGTTACCGAGTTAGTGAGATTCTACTGTAACCAATAATAAATTAAGGAAGTCGTAAAGGATTATCTAATAACCAAAATTACTCGTCTGGAATCCCCCCAAAATCCAAATATATCCTTAAAATCCCCCTCCCCCAAAAATCTGCCAATGTCACATCAAACCCCCCTGTGGGCACCCCTGGACGATACAGTTTATTAATTTTTTATAACAAAATCCAAGAACTGCTGCTCTAGTGGCTTCCACCAATAAACTTCTAAACTTCCAGCCAAATTGTTCTGATAGATTTTTCGATTAATTTTAACTGAGACATTCAAACAATCTGATTTCACTAACTTTAAAAACAAAAGTTCACATCTTTTATGAAAGTACAAAAATAGAAATTATTTGTTAATCAATCATAATCTGTAACAGTGTATCTTAAAAAAAATTCAACAAGCTAACACACAATTTGGTTTGAACATCTTTTCAAAATAAAATGTAAGGAACTTTGCATAACTAAAATAAATTACATAACATAACATTAAGTCTTTGAAGACTAGTCATTGAACTAAAAACAATAATACAAATATTGCACAACACTTAAATTGGTCTTGTTCTATCACAAAATAAACAAATAGGATCCCTAGCTACTCACTATCAGAGTGTATTTAAACACAGTGACTTGTGCCATCTTTCCCCATGTTTGCAAGATAAGAGCAAATAAGTTGATGCATTTGGTGCTGGTTTAAGTAAATGAATCAGTGAGTTGAAAAAAGTACCCGAGTCAATTTTCGCAACTTTCGGTAAACGTAAAAAAACTGTATAAGTTTTGCATTAACAAAAATATAAATGCATAAAAAATTGAGAATATTATTTTTAGTACTACAAAAGAGATAACAACACAAAACTACCATTTTTTATGAGTTATGTAAATGAAAAAAATTTAATAAATTTTTGACTGAGGTCCCTTTTTGCTCTCAAGTCAAGTTTTTTTACCAAGATTTCTTACACCATACTAAAAAAGGTCAATAAAAACATTTTAAAGGAACACTTTTATTTACAAGGATTTCATGTACTTTACTGACAGATATTATGTGCAAAATTAAGTATTTTGCCAGTTTAAAGTTCTGGATTTTTACTCTTCGTACTTCACTCAATGTTATCTTGCTCGTCCGTCGTTTCCCAGTTTAGAATTTCATCATAGAATTGGATGTGTTCGTTTGGAATGTAACTATACAATCTTCTCAAATCAACAATCTTCTTTCTTTTAATGGGAACAAAACCCCTCGGATAAGCTTTTGTATCTGGTAGGGTGAGGCACAGGCCCTTTCGCAAGTTAAACGTATGCAGTGTCTGAAAATCTCCCGTTCTTATATGCATACTTGCTTTGACAGTACCTTTTTCCAAATAGGAGTACTGGAAATAATAAAATTTGGAAATAACAAAATGTTGTTTCTCTTGACGAGGCAAGGTTTTGGTTTCGTTTGATACGGCTGTCTTTTTATATACCGTAGGCCACCATTTGGAATAGTCAGTAACTAAATCGCTTTCGACTAAGGTTACTGTACATGGAGATTTCTTGGAAGAGTTAACTATTAATTCACAAACTTCCTTTGGAGTGTAAATTCTGTCTTGTTTTCTTATTGGCCTCTTGATCATACTGAAACTTCTATCGCAAGGATTATAAGAGTGTCCTCGCAATGGGTAAAACTGCTTCACAACTTTGAACCTACCCAAGTCACACAAAGCAAGACAAACTTTAGATAATGTGTGGTTTTTATTTTGACCCCAACAATTATCTGAAAAAAGGTGAATGTTTATTTCCTATCTGATAAGAAAGCTAATGATCAAAACATCGGTTTCTAGGAATCCTCCTCTATTTACCTAGTCTGTGAAAGTTTGAATTTTGTAGGAAGTGTAGCCTACAGTAAAGAAATATAAAACAAAATGATCAAAAATGCTTTGGTGTTGTAAATGCTATAATAATAATAATTATTTTTTTATGAGTAAGAGTTTGTAGGAAGACCCCAATCACCCCTTAAATAAATTGTTTTTTCTTGCCTATGGTTGTAAATAGTTTAACATATTTTGTTTTTCATATTTTATGAGTTTTTTTATTGGCCAATATTCTGTAAGCAACCCAACTAGCCACAGAGAATAATGCTTCCTTCAATACTATGAGTATAAAAAATAAACATTGTTTCACTTTCTTTGTATTTTGTTTATTGTTTTTGCTAACAATAAACAATATAGTTTATTAATAAAGAATATAGTTCTAAACATTTTCTGCGTTAGGACCCCTGAACCCCCCTTTTTACTAAGGGTGATTCTTACCCTACAGACTCCCGCCCCCCTTATGGAACAGTTAGATGGACACCCATACAAAGGAAGCTTTTTAAGAGAAAGTTGTAGAAACTCAGTACTACTTTCATGTGAAGATTCCATCTTCCTCCTCAATTAGGCGCAAAATTTAAAATTAATTATTGCATTATGCACGTTTAAGTGCTATCAACTGCTACAAACTCTTTTCTTGGTTGAGTTAGTTGTGTTCCTTCTTTCTGAATGTACTCCTAATCCAAGAAGGCCTTCTCTTTCTCCAAAACCCAAAATAAATAGAGATACTAATTAATTGTTATGTTCCAGGCCCCCAGTCCAAGTAGAACAGTCGTACTGCACCAGGGAGCAACAAGCTTACTGTGATGTTTACTCCAACAAGTCCTGCTGCTGCGAGAGCAGTCACACTCTGACTGGGAGTGTGTCCAAAATGACCTTGTACGATGAGAACATATCATTCGCATCCAGGGGGTTCTCCTCCATCATTATACCTTCTAAAGGTTACCCCCCCAAAAACACAAACAAATCGTCACTTCCACCTATCACGTCTAAAACATTGGAAAAAAGTTTCAACTACAAAAACCGTTTGAAAGGAGCACCTACACCTGAAGAAAAACTTAATCCTGTATCCACTAAACAGAGAAAATCGAGTGACCTACAACCAAAAAATAAAACCCACGGCAGTTTTGAAATCACCAAAAGGTTGTCAAACATTTTCATATCAAGGAGAAAGGTGGAATATAAACAATTCTCTATGAAGAAGGAAGTTAACTCTTCGAAAATAGAGTCTAAAAAGGTTATTGAAAACTCAAGGTCTTTGGACATTGATGTTACAATCAAGGATGAAGTGTTGAACGATAACACGTCACCAAGTAAACCTACAGAGCTTTTACACCCAGGGTGGAGAAGAGTCCCTTGGAAACCTCACTTTGGGTGGACAGATGCACACCAGCAGCTGTGCAAACTCCTCCGCAAAGAGGTAGTTATAAATTTGATTATATTATGTTATAATCCATATTGCTTAAACAATTAAATCAAGGAATAAAACAAACTGCTAGTACCCTTTGGTTAAGCCATAAACAATCCAAACTTTTGACCATAGAAATGTCTAAATATTGGCTGATCACTATACCAATTTTCTTTAGAATGTTGTCACTTTATTGTATAAATTTGAGCAGCATTAACTAAATGAGTTTTTTGTTGATGATTCTTTTAAAAATGTGCTGTTAGTCTTTATGGTTGTGATTCTTCTCTTGGTGGCTAGTAACCCACCTGAGGATAACATTGCAGTTTGCTGAGAGCTGATAAAGGATCTGAGTACTAATTAAATTATTATTGTTACCTTACAATATCCGTTTAATGTTGGTAGATAAACAACTACATGTTTCGTGGCGACTGCCACATCCTCAGGTATCCTCTTCTCAGATTCGTCATCAATTTAAAACAAAACACAGAACACACATAGAAAAACACATTATATTTATTTGATACCGTCACGGTGCGTGCACGCAGTTGTATCAAATAAATATAATGTGTTTTTCTATGTGTGTTCTGTGTTTTGTTTTAAATTGATGACGAATCTGAGAAGAGGATACCTGAGGATGTGGCAGTCGCCACGAAACATGTAGTTGTTTATCTACCAACATTAAACGGATATTGTAAGGTAACAATAATAATTTAATTAATATAAAGCAATATCCAGAAGTAGGACAATGAATTCTGATCTGAGTACATTCGCATACCTGTTTTTCACTTATCTAATATCCCATCAAAGCCTTATACACCATCTAACGACAAAAGAGAATATCCCGATGTCTGTTAACAGGATGCAAGTATAGATCCATGGATTTTATTTTGATAAATTGTACTATATTAATAAAATTTTAAACTTATTTTTTCAAGAATTCATGACAGATTTGTAATCCTTGGGGCCAATCTATTTATAATGAGATTTTTATTAAGTTTTAAAATTATTTTTTTCCTTCAAGGGGAAACTATTTATTTTTGCAATTTTGGGTTAACATTAACAACCTCATTCAAGTAAAACATAAAGGTGTTCTGTAGTTAACATTCATCTACAGTTTGAAAAGACTATGTGATCTTATGTCAAATATACAAATAATAAACTCTTTTGTCTTTTGTCTTATGTTTTTTATTGTTTATTGTACCATATTTAAGTCAAAATGTTCTCTGTTGCAGATCACGGATGGCAAAGTACACAATATTTACTACAACACAGAGGAAGAACACGCCTCAGCCAAAGCTCTGCTCAGTGGACCTTCAGTATCTACTGTGTCAGACGTCCTTGAGGTGATAAGGAAAACAGCTGAGACAAGGTCACCTTGGTTTTACAAGGTTACATCAAGGTCAAGGAGCTCCTTGCAAACCTCCCCTTATGATGCTGATGGGGAAGACTCTGTTTGACATCAAACTTACTTAATGCTGTATATTTTGTTTTATATCTTTATAGAATAGTGTGTTAGCTTATTATTTTTTAATAAACAATATGTTATATTTGCCAATGGCCTTCACTTATAGCTTCACTTTTGAAAAGTTTATGTAAAAGTCGTATTTGAATGATTGATGATCTTGTCAAATTTTATACTGTTTGAATGCTAAGATACCACCTGATGATAATGTAAATTAGTACCACACATTCTGGTAGTACAGAGCACATTTAAATTGTAGTTCCACTTGTCTACTAAACAATTTTAAGACAACGTCTCTCAGAGCTTTATATGTTTTACTGGCTTTGACTATTGATACAACGTACTGGGAAACACCCCTATAAAAGGCATAATAGTAACTACATAAATTAAATTGTGAAATCATAGAACATATTTTTTGTAACTTTTGTTAAAAGTGTCATTAAGTCCTTCATATTTAATGAAAAGAAGAAAGTATAGATCAACATGAGCACCACAAATTCAGGTCAGGTACTCAGGTAGTATCGAGTAAGTTATAAACCTAGTGTACTTGCTGCTCTACTGGAAAAGTACATTAAGTTCATTGTCAATGGTTGTTACTTTGCCATCCAAAATAAGCCAGTTCTAATTGTTTTAATTTATGGTGTCATCTTATCATCTCATAACAGTGTATATACTGTTGCTATCACTGACAACACAGTTATTGTTGTGTGACTGTGATGAAAACCGTTTATGTGATTATTTTATTAGTTCCGATATCAATAGTAATAGCTTATAGCTCAATTCACCCACTGAAAACTGCCCTAGATTACAACTCGCTTGATAAAAATATAGTTAAACGTATGACAACGTCCAGCAAAGATGTATGGGAGGGAATGGTGGATGATATTGTTTTTTACACCCATTCTTTGGTAAACTTGGTTGGTTCATTGGAGCAAAATGTTACCAAAGATGAATTAAAAGCAGCTTTCGACTTGATGGACGGAGGAAAACCTGCTTTTATAGATACACCAGTAGAAGAGGAGAAGGTGATGAAAAAGTTAAATTTGGAGGAATTTGATATCTACAGGTTCACAACATTACGAATGGATGCAGTGAATCAATGGAATAACTTTGTTTCTTTTGTCAGGGAACTAAAGGCAAATCAAACATATTGGAATTGTTAAGGCAACTACAGTAAAACATTATAGTACTTAATTATAGTGGACATTTAGACTTGTTCCAGTCATACAAATAAGGTTTTAAGAGATTGTGTATGGAGCTGGAGCGTTTGTATTGTATACTTTTTATTTTAATTTTCATAATAGTTTTACTTGTTATTCATCATATCATGCTTTTTATTTGGTCTGAACTTCATTGACTTTTTAGTTTTAAATATACAGTATTTAATTATTAATTTTATATTTGATTGAACCTCAACAGCTCTTGGTTCATATAATAGTTGTATTGTAAGTTTATCACCTATTTTTATAAACGGTTTGAGAAGTATGAACTTTATAGTTATTTTTAGACTGGGGTAAATTCCATTAGCTGTTAACTTTTGTGCATATAGTTTGATAATGAATTCTCTTCTTCTTTGTGACCCCATGGAAGGATCCAGCTTATAGGGAATTCTGAAACATCAGTTTGTAGAGATAACATGATCTGTACTGTCTTAAAAATGTCTTTAAACTAGATTTTTTTTATAGAATTAGTGAATGGTAAAATATTTAAGATTAGTGGGCAGCATACCTAATGGACTTGACCGATTGTTTAAAATCTCTCATGATCAGTACAGAAAATAGGAGGATCTGGTCTTGTGGTTAAAGCGTGGGACTTGGGTCCCTGAGGTACTGGGTTCAAATCCTGCCAAATCACCAATGGATTTTATCTAAGTCATAATGCCGCAACCCCTAGGTCTAGTCTGAAGTAATGTGAAAAACAGTCCCAGGGGCTCATGCCTGGCGCCTTAGGACAAAAAAGTACAGAAAGTAGAGCACTAAGAGGCATATAGATATATAAATGTATTTGAAATAAATGGTATATCAGTGATTTTAGGCAGATTGATGAAATAAAAGACAAAATTAATATTTTGATTGCAATAATTTAAACACAGTTGTACAGCGAGAACTAAAAAAAAAATCCCTCAAATTTCTTGGGTTATGAGCTAGAAGAAGTTACAAAGAGAACCGTAACCATAAAATTATACCTAGACCATAATTCAATCTTTATGACAATACAAGGTTCTTACAAATTAATCACTTAGAAAACTAAAAGTATTTCGGTATGATTTTTCCTTATGCCCAAACCTAATCTATTAGCTGTACGCCTTTGAGAAATATTTCCATGTAAGCGGTAGTGATACTGCCTTTATGCCGATCTGAAAAAATCCCATAGACCTCCGAAGTTACAATGATAAGCGTGTATTATTCAGGATACAAAATCATCATAAGGAAAATAAAACTATATTAGCTGTTATAAAAAGGGATGCATAAAAACATTTGTCCAACAACTCTCTAATATGATATATTGAAACCTAAAACTGAATGTCCATTTATAAAAATGTTCACATAACGTTTGCTATATAAAAACCTTTACAGTATATAAAAAGAGTATAGAGATCACATCCTGTCAGACTTAATCGTACCTTGTCTACATTCAACTCACTATAACTTTGATCAAATCTTATTTTATTACTAATGCAGTCCAGTCTCTTATCTTGACAATGTTTACTTCTCCTTCTCCGTTTGATTTATTGATTGAAACAAGCTGTCATTGATTTTAGATATGTCTAATAAGATTTCTTTCCTTCCAGCATGTCTTGCGTTATTCACAGTATTTCTAAATTTATCAAGTGTTTATAGTAGAGCATTTCTTCATTTAGCGGACGACTTCAAGAAACTAGATGAAACATTAGTAAATTTTATACAGAACCCCACTATTGATGGTTGGGAGGATAATTTATTAGAAATGGGCTTCTATGTAAGAAGTCTGCAAAGGATGGTTCGAGACTTGGACGCTGGCCTTACTTTAGGAACGTTCAATGAAGCTGATAAAGTTTATAGTAGCGGAAAACCAAAATTTATCGACAAAGTTATTGACGATGACAAGTACATAACAGAGCTTAGGATTAAGGATGAGCAACTCGAAAGGTTTTACTACATGCAGAAGTTTGCTGGAATAGAATGGGAGGATTTTTGTCATATGATAAACCACAAAAGGTCTATGGCTCAGCTACTGGTTTAAAGAAGAAAAATTACGTTAGAACAATTTAGTGTTACAAGAGTCTCCAAGAAAATAGCCAAAATGCTGGACAGATTATGCAGAATTATTTATAAACTTGGAATATGTAGATTGAATAAACTTCTGTACTAAAAAAGATACACATTATTTTCTTGGATTTTTGTGTAAGTAATGAGTGTATATTTAATAATAGACAAAGGAAAAATTAAATCACTACATTTTATAAAAAAATCAGTAATACATAATAGTCTAGTTAAAGATACCTACAGAATTAAACAAATTGTATAAACAAGTATAAAAGTATGAAATCAAAATGTTAGAATTTTTTTAAATCTAAACTGATGTTATTTCTGATAATAATTTGTTTCTAAAATATTATAAAACTTCAAACTTCAAGTTAAAGTATGTCATGATAATTTAACGAAATAGGTTTACAGTAACAAATATTAACAGTAAACAGAAACCAATTTTTTATTGTTGCATGACGTACATCTTATATATTTATAAATTTGATGTTTCTTTTCCAAGTTCGTTTGGCTCTTCTACCCAATCAATTTTCATGATTGAGGTCTCAAATTGAAGGTATGCATGCACAGATTTGCCACTAAGCATTGTCATAAATTTATCTATAGTTATCTATAGTCCCACTCGGCATATACGTAAACAAAATTTGCTTTCCATGTATTTCTTATGGGAGTTAAATTTGGTTTTTCTTTGCCAAGCTCGTTTGGCTCTTTTACCCGACTGCTTTTCATGATTGAGGTCTCGAATTGAAGGTATGCACGTTCAGATTTGCCACCAAGCATCGGTATAAATGTTTCTATACTCCCACTTGGCATACACGTAAACGAAATTTGCTCCCCATGTATTTCTAATGGGAGTTAAATTTGGGTTTTCTTTGCCAAGTTCGTTTGGCTCTTCTATCCGACCGATGTTCATGATTGAGATCTCAAATTGAAGGTCTGCATGCACAGATTTCCCATCAAGCATCGGCATTTAATTATCTATAGTCTCACTCGTTTTATACGTAAACAAAATTTGCTCCCCATGTATTTTTAATGGGTGTTAAATTTGGTTTCTCTTTGCCGAGTTCGTTCAGCTCTTCTATCCGACCGATGTTCATGATTGAGGTCTCAAATTGAAGGTCTGCACACACAGATTTGCCATCAAGCATCGGCATTTAATTATCTATATTCTCACTTGGTTTATACGTAAACCAAATTTGCCCTCCATGTATTTTTAATGGGAGTTAAATTTTGTTTCTCTTTGCCGAGTTCGTTTAGCTCTTGTACCAGACCGATTTTCATCAATGAGGTCTCAAATTGAAAGTATGCAAGCACAGATTTGCCATCAAATATCGGGATATATTTATCTATAATACCACTCGGCCTATACGTAAACGAAATTTGCTCCCCATGTATTTCTTATGGGGAGTTAATTTTGGTTTTTCTTTTCCGAGATCGTTCGGCTCCTCTAGCCGACCGATTTTCATGATTGAGGTCTCAAATTCAAGTAATGCACGCAATCAAGCATCGGCATATACCTACAGTATTATTCAACTAAAAACATAATTTGTATAATTTTCGAATTCTTACATCAATTTAAGATGTATTTCACTAGTTATAATTATATAATCCTATATATTTTGGTCTAAGAACTTTCAGTGAAATATCAGCTTTTATTTAAGCGATTAAGATACTGTATTACTCAATCAAAAATTATAAATTTATTATTTCTTGGATATTATATTTATTTTAACGCTACGGAGCAGCACGG